TTTTTTTTAATAAGTAAGGGTATTATAGTATTTATACATTAAAAATTTTAATTTGGTCTTGCACAAGTGGAATTAGTCTTGCATATAGCCGCAGCCTATAATGTATTTTTCTTAAGTTATTTCTTACAAGCTATATTCATTTTACCATCATATCATCTAAATTATGGCAAGCTACTATATTTTATTATTTTCCAGTTATTTGTTACATTGGTATTTTCCCCATCTTAATTTCCCCATTTTTTCTCTTGATAGTGCTTAATAACCTTTTAATAAGACCCATTTCTTATTCGGTCAGATCTTCCGATATTCATGCATTTGGTATGACAATCTGAATAGCTTCAATTGCCTCTTACCGATTCAGTTCAAAAAGTTGAACTTATTCGGTCAGAGTCTCCTGAACGAAATTGTGACAAATCTCTCATTTTATAAATTGGGTATTCCAACTATCTTCGTGCAATTTGTTGAATTATATATTAATTTACTTTATATAGTGCAGTTTTTAATTAGTTTTAAAATTCTCACATTTACATTTACATATGTAGTGTCATATAAACTAAAATAATATTAAGTTTGATTATTCACCTATTTGTATATGTTTTGGATGTGAGAATGTAAGTTTGTCACTATAATTATTTAAAGTGAATTGAAATTTGAATTTTTCTTTTCCATGGTTCAATTTTTTGAAATAATAATAGTTTTATATGTGTATGTCAAATACATGGAACAAGAATCACCTAAGCTGCATTTTTTTTAATTAAAAGTATATTATTAACAATTAAAAAGTCATAGCATTTTTTTTATTTAGACATTATATTATTGATAATTAATTAGTACATAAAGTCATTTGTTATAACAATTCCAAGGGCTAATATAGTAAAATTATAACATCTAGATGTAAAAATGCTTTAAGTTATCAAACAGTCTTAAACATTAATCCATTCAGTATTTAAATATTGGTCTTAATCATTCATATATGTATTCAGCATTCAGTGTTCAGCGCTTAATTCTACCAAACATAGTCTTAATCTAATTAAACACTATTTGATACCTCTTAATAGGCTTCTCAATATTATTTTATGAAGCACATTAATCATCATTAAGAACGTTGGATTGTAATATTTGAATTAATCCAACAACCTCTTGAGGAGCACGGTCGATCCTGAAATTTCTAAGCTCTAAACGAGTTTTGAAAAAAAATGCCCTACGTAGTGAAAAAGGTTTTTAATTTTCATATACGATTATGCAATTAATTGATAGAAGCCCCAATTGAAAACAGACACGTACGATTACCAATTAAATAGAATGAAAAGGTTTGTATACTGGCTACGGCCGAACTTAATATACATTCATGATTTATAGAAAGCCCGTTATAAATTACTAAAAGACAAGGCTATAGCCGGGGCTCGGCTCTAGAGCATTCATTCCAATAATTGTGTATTTATTCAATAAGTGATACATTTAATTTCAATGAATATTGACTATATGATAGCTATTATTAAGTTTATTTAAATATAATTTATTCACCCCCATATTTCAATATACATTATTACAATAAGAGCACAAGTGCATTGGAATATTACCATTTGGACACTAGCTAGTTGAACTTATACATTATTTATTTGTTTGACTGATCTTGTGAGCACACACGGCGGAGCCAGCTCAGCAACCCACCTCGACCGCCGTGATTGTCGGCCGGCCCACGTTGCTCAGTTTGTACTAAATCCCACGAGGTGCTATTCCGGGCCATGCACATGCATTTCCAGTCTATGTGTTTCTTCTCTAATCCATCGATCGAGTATTAATTTACTGAGATTCTGAACTTATCTTTCATTTGTTTGTAAAATTATCCTTAACCCCTGAATTATCTCACCGCCAAACAATCTCTCCTTACAACATCAAAGATTATTCAAAAGTAACATAGTATATATATCGATTCTATAAGAATATTAAGGGCTCGTTTAGATTATCATTATTAGGTACTACTGACTAAATAGTAGGGGCTAATAACATGTTCGGTTGATAAGATTCGTTCTTATTCAAAACTCAAACAAAAACTAGAGTCCGCTACTGCATGCTACTATTTCATTAATTTAGTAGCACCTATCTCCCATGCGATTAATTTTGTAAGGGGTGACTAAACAAGAAAAAAAAACAGTTTTATCCTTAAAATCATAATTTATTTTAACAAGTAAGAGATTTTATGGATAAATTCACAATAATATCAGAATTTAACTAATCTGACACGAGAACTACTGTAACGAACCGAACATGTTCGTAACTAAATAATTAATTAGTTAGTCAGTAAAAAATTATGTAATTCTCATATGATCCAAACTAATCCGACTATTTCAATCTTTCTCCGATAAAAGTAGTCAATGGTGTTTTTATAATATTTTTATTTTGTTAGGGAGTTAATTATAATATTTTAAGATAATATCAAGTTACATTTTTTAGTCAAGAGGAAATATTTGTTATTTAAGCATACCTAAAATATTACTTATAATTTATCCTATTATAACGTAGGTAGTTCAAGTACAAAGCCTTAATTTTACATAATTCAAATTAGAATTATAAATCAATGATTATTATTTCTAAATAATTAACACTAAATATTTAACTTGCAAATTCAAACTAAAAAAATAATCGTTTATTAATATAATTACGCAGGCCTACATCGCATGGAGATAAATCTCTGGTCAGAGATTACTTAATTATATCCTACATAATATACTAATCATTTTAATTATATTAGTTAAGTATTTCATTAATTAATAAAACCCAAAAAAAAAAACTGTTTTAAAAAATAGTTCGATAAATCCAAGGACCGAAGCAGCAGCAGCAGCACCAAAAATTAGTTTTTAAACTTATCGACATTCGTTCCTCGATTAAAACAATTAGCCGCCTAATCTAACTTTGACCTTCCTTAAGTATGTAATTAACGATTTGTTAATTGAATGAAATAATTAAGTGTAGGTTAATTTGTCTATGAATGGAAAGGTTAGGAGGTGGAACATTCGATAAGACAAAATATCTTAATACAGTAGAACCTCGATAAATTAATACCCGATAAATTAATAACCTCGCTTAAATAATAAATTTTCCCGGTCCCGACTCGGGGACAACGTGCTAAATTAATAATTCGCTAAATTTATAAGATAATACACATTCGAAAATTTTAAGAAGCCCCATATAATATATAAATTAATAATGCATAAAAAAAAATTCTTAAATTACATGGTACAGTGCATATTTTATAGATTTATGAAGACTTAATATAATATAATTTAATTCTCACTAGTTTCTTGTAGAAGTTCACATTACCATCAATCTCGTCCCTCACTTTTCTTAACATGGTTAGAACTTTCGGTATAATTTTCTTTTAACTCAACATAAATCGTTCTATAACATTACTGTTTTAAGAGCTTCCATTCGTGAAACGGGCTCTATAGTGCATTGAACGAATGGTACAATGAATAATATATACGTAAAATTTAAAAAAAAAATGTATTTATTGAAAATAATAATAAAAGTAATTTCATAAATTAATAAGTTATTAATTAATGTATAAATTAATAATTATTAATTTATCGATAAGTTAATATTTCGCTAAATTAATGAAATCTTGATGGTCCCAACTGTATTAATTTATAGAGGTTTAACTGTAATTAACGCAAGAGACCAATTTTTATTTATTTTTCTCTCTTTTTTCTTTTTCGATGGGGCGAAAAATTCAAAAATTATAAAATTGGGATACTTTAACCTAGGGTGGAAATCAGATGAAATAGATCGAAAATAGTTTTTTCGGAAAATTTTCCGAAAATAAAAAATTGGTTTCAAATTATGTTCCAAACAAATCGGAATGCAAGATTCATTCCACTTTTAGAATGCATTAGAATCGGTGGAATTTCGAAAGTTTCGGAAATTATATTAGTTTATAATATTTTGTTCCGAATTCGGATATGAAAAAATTTCACAACATTTTTCTATCTTTTGTGAGATTTTTTAGAAAAATGCAAGAAAATTCAAAAGAGACTTCGACAAAACGCGATAAGTAAAAACACATGTAAGAATAACAAATTGAAACATAGATTTTCTTATAAGAAAAAATGTAATATAAAGTTTATGATACCAATTAACATCTTCTAAGGTTTTAATTTAATTGACCCTTCGGTATTTATATTTTTCATATAAAATATATCATAGGTTCTATTATGGAATTACAAATTAATATATCATAAAATTATTTTATATATTTCGAAAAATCATAGAAATATTCGGATCGAAAATCGGAAGTTCCTTTAAATTTTATATACCATTCCGATTCTGTTCCAAATAAATTCGAAAGAAATCGGAACTTCAAAATCAAAAATTCGGAAATCGGAATGAAAATTACAGTTCCAAATTGAATATTTTCGGATAGAAATTGACGGAGTTTGGAAATTCCATTCCGATTTCCACCAATTTTTATAGGGTTGGTTGTGATAAAATGTAATTATATTATGAGTTGCTATTTTTTCTAAAACAAATACTATTAACCCAATTTGCATTCAACTCTTTTTTCATTTTTACTTTTTGGTCCTTATAATAATGAATATTTACATGACCAAATTCCTGATTCAAAGCTCCACTGTTTCCTAATTTGATGATGTGTTTCAATGAAGGGTGTATTTTTGGTAATATTACAAAAGTTATGTGGTCAATTTCGAAATGATTCTCTTTCCAAACATTTCATATGAAAACACCTAAATTCCTACAATGTCACTTTCAAACTTATTAGTCAATGAACTCTAACACAGGCAACCTTAAAGATTGTTGGAAAGTGTCAACTTTTTACAACAAAAATTCAACTGCAAATTCAATAAATAAGAAGAAAAAAATAATAATAATAATAAAGAAAGAAAGATTGTGGACCTATGTAAATGTGCAAGCATTGAATGTATCAAATCTAAGGTCACAAGTCAACGAGAAAGTCAAAGAACAATGGTGAAAAAAGAATCAACTCAAATTAAAAAAACATTATAAATGGGAAATAGTTATATATATATAAAATAGTGAAAAGAAATATGTACAAACCTACATCCCATGTGAAACCATTTCCCTATTCTAACTACTAGCACCTAATCTCCCTCTCTTAATTTCAAACGGTAGGGGGTGGGGGTGGGGGTGGTGGCCCCCCTATACCATCCAGACAACCAAGCCCCTCCAACTAAAGTCAACTACCTTTCACCAAATCCATGTCTGTAAAATTCCATTTACTATGTACAAATCCACAAAGCAAAGAATATTGCCAACCAAACACAAATGCACTTTATGACTAAGCTCATAAAATCAAGAATTAGATTTGATCAATCCCAAATTGTATAGATTCCTCCTCATCATACTTCCAAATGATAAAAGCATGGCCCCACCTTTCGACTCGTCCCTTTCGACCTTTTCTTGATACACAATCGGTAATTCCTTAATCCTTAAAGTACTCAAACCGATCTTCTCCCGAACCGACTGAATAATCTTTGGGTCGGCCGGATTCCCGATCGAATCCGTCACATAGAATATATTTCGGGATTTATTCTCTAATGTTGCTATCTCTGCCCTCGTCACGTTTAGCCCGTTTTCACGGAAGGTTCTCGTTACATCCGCTAATAACCCTTTTCTGTCCGCCGCACATAGCTCAAGCCTTACACCCTGTTTTTCAGACAAGAAAAAATTTCATTACATTTCATAAAATTTACATTTGTTGAAAAAAGGATTCTTTAACATAGTCCTAAAAAGTTTTATTAAAAAAAAAAAGAAAAAGGACAAACACCTGAGATGCCCTTCTTTCGATGGCAGCTCGTAAACAAAGAATCACACGCTCCTTTTCAGCTTCCGAACTCAACGGTGTTCCATCCATGTGCCGAATGAAGAATTCCTAAATCAAATAATGTATAGAAATAACTTAAGGGCTCGTTTCGTAGAAAAGATTAGCCAAGATTAGTTAAATAATCGGACCTTATTTGATGTTTATAACTTTTTCAGACTGGTCCCACAATTATGGAAAAAAGGGCTCTAGGGGTTTCGTCTCATGAGATTAATAATCTTTTCATGGATAATCCAAACAAGGACTTAAGCAAAAATCACAATCCCAAATAAAAAAAAAAATAAAAAAAAAATAGTTGCAAGGATATTTAAATACCAAGGATGCTCTGTCTGCTGACGTGTCAACGGTGGCATGAAAAATGAGGTACTGCATGTCCGTCAAAGTGCAGACAACATCGAACAGAAGCTTATTCCGATCCTTGCAATGAATATTCACAACCGAATAATCCTTCTCCAAATAATTCTGCACCAAAACAACTGGCGATTCGCCAAATATATCAATAATCGGTTTTCGATCGTAATCCCTGTCGGCAAACATCATCTGGTGAAGCCTTCTCTCCGTGTGAGTGCTGACCTCAGCGATCGATGTTTTAGCACTTCGAATATCGTTGTCCCCCTTCAACACGTTCCTCAACATCGCCTCGATTTTTTCTAATTTTCGAATATCTTTAATCAGAGCGTCCGATTTATTGTCGTTAAGATAGATTAGTGATGCGATTCTTCCATTGTGAGTCCACACCTTTGAGTTGACCACATTGCAGTTTAAATCGGACAGCACCGCAAAAACCTCAGATAGAAGGCCGACTCTGTCTGTGCCGGTGAGTTCCAAAACCGTGGGGCCCTCTTCGGTTTTCGGTTTGCCGTAATGAACTTTCTCAAGTGCCTGCAATTTGTATCATAAATAATTCATATACCAATACCATTAAAAGAAAAATCTTGAAAAAATGTGATTTATTTGAATTAATTATTTATGATAAAATTTAATGTAGGTATAATTGATTATATTTATTACCTTCTCAATGTAGCCCAAAGCAGCGCTGTCATCAGTTAATTTGTTTCCGTTTAAGTCGGTCACATGAAATACTGCAAATTGTTTAAATGGAAAAACGAAACGGCAGGAGTTAATTTTTTAATTGAAACAAACGGCAAAAAAAAAAAAAAAAAGCGGCGCGTGTGAGCTACGCACCGTCCATGAACCACCGCCCGTCGGAGCAAATGTAGGCTTTTTTTATTGAAAGATTCAAATCAGTCAAAACTTGAATCGCTTCCAGAAGAATCCCTTGTTTCCTCGCACTATCAATCTGCAAATAAAAAAATAATTAAATTAAGCGGTTCCGTATTTTCAGGAACGGGTCAAGAAGTAAGGATCCGGGAAGGTGGTGTTACCATGAGCCGGGTCGCGTTGGAACAACCCGTGTTGTCGATCAGGACCCTGCGAGAAGTGGACGGAGAAACAGTCAGAGGGCATTATCGGAAATTCACAAAAGATTTTTCTACACAAGTCGTACGAAAGTCTTTTTCTTTTAATTAATTAATTTATTTTTTAATTTATTTTTTGGGGGAAGACTAGACGAAGAAGAAGAAGATGGAAAAACAGAGTCAAGCGTAACTTGAAAGGAAAGAAATCGGCGAGATCAATCAGTTAATTAAATCCGATCAAAGGTTAAAATTCACTAATTTCCCCCAAATTAAAGATCAAATTATTTCAAAATTTGCAACAACAACAAAAATCATTCAACAAATCTCAAATCCCCAAATCGAAAAATTGAAACGGAAGAACAGCAGAAAAAAAAGGTTAATTTCAGAAAAGAAAAAAAAAATCACACACAGAAAACACACAGTGAAGGAGAAATCGACCTCGGAGTAGACATTCGAGTGACAAGCTTCTGGTATTCGTCGTCGTTGTACGTCGGACACTCCATTTTCTTTCTCTGTACTACGGATTCAAAATCTCGCTCTCACACTTTCTCTCTCTAGAATTATCTCTTTCTCTCTCTCTCTAGAACACTGCATGCGTTTTATTTTGGTCTTTCCCATTCTTAAGGGAGGAGGGACGTATTTATATATATTATATTATTTTCTCAAAATTGATTAATTAAATAAATTTCCTTTTTTTGTTTATTAATTTTTGAATCAGGATATTTGGACAATATTCTATTAATTTCCCAAATATCTCTCGAAAACAATTATTCTTTTTTCCTTAATATTGAAATATTGTTCCTAAGGTGTAAGTCAACACCCGCTGTTGACACGTGTGCTTTAGGCCCCAGGAGCTGGGGGCGGATGTCAGGGTCGCCAGCGTGGAGGGCACGTGGTTTTACTGAGTTATGCTTTGCTTGCATTCGACTCAATTGAGTTGGTGAAAGGATGTTTTATTCTTTAAATAAATAAATAATAAATAAAGACCTAAAGTATTGGGTATATTAAATTAAATGGCCATAAATCAAACGAAATCTATTGAAATTAACATTTTTTTAAAATATGAAATTGAAAAATAATTGAAAATAAATCTGAAAATTTCTGATCGAAATTGGTACATGTCGAAATTTGAAATTCTCAGTTACAAAATACGTAGTAATATTGATATTGATACAGCGCTTTAAATTATAATGTGTCTATATATATATATATATATATATATATATATATATATATATATATATATATATATATGTGTGTGTGTGTCATATACATAAATATATTTCACCAAATAATAATGTATATTCTAATTGGTGAAAAGCGGATGAATATATTTGTTTATTTAACCATTTGACCACCTGTCATGGAGTGTGATTAAAGTTCAAGAATGAGTTCAATTATTTTAATGTATTCCAAAAATGGATGATAAGAATTTATTTTAATTTTATCTATTGACTATTACTAATAATTATAATAGATAAATAAAAAAAAATATCGAAATAATTTCATTTATCACGTGTGTCAAGAAATTATCATTTTTATCCACAAAATACATGTTAAATTGAACGCGTCCCGCAAGGGATGACCTAGCAGTTAGGGCAAGAGAATTTGTGACAAATAATTTAAGTTTAAATCTCGTTGAGAACGGTCGTTAGGTTAAGTTTGTCAAACATGGTTAATTAACCTACTGCGGTTTACGTCTCCGGTATTATTTGAAGCTATTGTACGAGAGATTCAGTTTACCCGATGCACTACGGTTAGCTACAAGTTCCAGAAAAGAAAATGGAATGAAGATACATTAATTATAATAATAAAAGACGAACTCCAAGGTCAATAAATTACAATATAATCTCGATAAATTAATAATTTCGTTTAAATAATATTGTTTTTTGCTCACGACTCAGTAAAAATGTACTAAATTATTAATTTAATAATTTAATATATTATTAAATTAATAGAATATAGTTAGCTTCCACCATATTATTTTATAGATGTTTAAGTGATAAAAAAACATAAATTGCATACCATCTTGGAGGGAAAAAGTGGGAAAGAAAATGAAATATTGCCAAAAAATAATTTACACGTCACGAGCCACTAACACTACCACTCCAAATAATTAGTTGTAAGTATTCCACGTGGCGCGGTGGGATTAGCAAATTAGGGCCGTAATTAGAGGATATCTTCAAGATTAAGTCAAGATTTGCCGACCAATATTATGACGTGCGCACGTGACAACACCCGCTGGCGTCGGCTTTTTCCTTTTAGAAGTGTGTACTTAACTACTTATTTAACACTTAGGTGGTGTTTGCAAATGATTATTTAAAAACAGAAGTTAGTGATTGTGATTTAAGTTAGTTTTAAGTGTTTATTTCTAAAAGTTGGGGGTGTTTGCAAATATTTCGGAAAATGAACTAAAATTGAAAAAGCAGGGTTAGGGGTGCTTTTAAAAAAATAGCTTAAAGCAGATTATTTTAAGAGAAGCAAAAGCAAAAGTTGAGTTCGATTTATTAGTATAATTGATGTGAAAAAATACAATTTTCATCCCTCAAGTTTGCATTGATTTCACATTTGACCCTCAATGTTCATTAAAAATGCATTTGGTCTTTCATATTTCAAAAATTCAACATTTTTAGTCATTTCCATCAATTTTCCGTCAGTACTAATGGAATCAAACTTGTGTCCATCACTACCTTAACTGATGAATTAACGGTAACTTGACGGAAATGACCAAAAATGTTAAATTATTGTAACATGACGGACCAAATGTATTTTTTGATGAACATGGGGACCAAATTTGAAATAGATGCAAACTTGAGGGATGTAAACTGTAATTTTCCCTATAATTAATCATGTTTTAGAACCTGATAATCATATTGTTAAATAAGTACTTAATTGACTTATTTTTAGTTCAATTAAAAAAAATTGTTTGAGCTTGATTTGATTGCAAAATGAACTAAACTTAAATACAATTTTTGAAATCCTGGCTTGATTTATTTACACTCCTAATTTAAGGTGATTAATCGAAATTGGAGAACCGAATAAATTTAGCGAATATAATTTAATATGATATTATTAGGTATTTAGGTTTCAATCATGTTGACAACACTCTATTAGGTATTTAGGTTGGATATTTGATATTTCAGTGTATCCAAATTAATGTGTAACAATTCTCACCTTTCAATGTGTTAAACCATTTCTTAGATAGTAAAATTAGGGAGAATCACAAAAAAAGTCCCAATTATTATTTGATGTAACGGTAACATATTTTTTTCGATAAAAAGAAATCGTTAGATATATATCATGTCCGTGTTTCCAAATATGTACGATTTAACAAATTTGTTAGTTAATAGCCTCACATTTTCAAATGACACGGCTCATTGATCAAGCGTAGATTCGTCGACTTTTTCGCGATTCAGCTAACGAAGTTAGAAATCAATTGACTCAATCGATTAAATTAGATTAGTCGAAAGGAGAAATAGAGATTTGGCTGAAATTAGGCCAAACTTGGTAAGAGCATCTCCAGTAAACTTGTTATATGTTAAATTTTAACAAATTAATGGACTTTTGTTATAAAAAAAAAATGAGCTCCGACAGCTATTCTAAAATTTAGCAAGACTTCCTGAATAATGTGTACACAATTTTTTTTTTTTTTACTACATTATATGTATACATTATTTATTGTATTTATAATCTTTAACAATTTAGTTTTATAAAAAGTAAACTTAAGTATTTGTAAATTAAGAAGACATAGAAAAATAATAATGAGTATACTTAAGTCCATCCTCAATCGAAAAAAATACTACTAGATTATACATATATATTTATTTAGTTCACCCAATATTTATTATTTAATTTAGTCAATCCAAAGTCCGAATTAATGCAAAAAAAATCCTAAAAGATTTTTTCCCCTATCTTATGGTTTATTAAAAAAAATTCTAAAAATAAATCCGAAGTGCTGTCCCTGAATGGCTAAACCCCCAAATTAATTATTTTAATGTATATTCGATCCCACTAATTATAAAATTCTGGTTTCGCCACTGTTATCAAACTTGGCAAGGTCAAGCTTGCATGCTAAAATATTTTATAATAATGGTTTGTGATCATAAATGATATTATACGATACTTCTAAAAAAAAAATATTGGAGTGAGTTATTGTGTTAAATATGATGTGTTAAAATATAAGCTACCACTGGTAGAATGACTCGTAAAAAGTGATTTGTTAAAACATAAAAATACATGATAAAATTGAAATTTATCTGCAATTTTGCATTATTAAGGAACTACATAAATCTTTATAATTATTATACCAAATATACAATTATCATTTATTAATATACAAAAATTTCACATGTCGGTGTGTGAACACTCTCCTTGATGTAGCATAGATTTGATGATATATGAAATAAAAATTAACATTTAAAAAATGTTTTATAACAAACATAACCAAACTCTTTCTCTGTAATAAAATGGAAATGCAAAAGCATGAATCTAATTGGGGTTTGCAATAAACATGGGTCCCTTTTTTTTTCTGACTTCTGACACTCACATGCATGCCCTTCACGATACACGTTCTTTTGTTGCCCGCTTGTCTCGGCCACCCACCACCACCGTAGCGCCGCCGTACCACCACCACCACCACTCATAAATTTTAATAAGTTCAATCGTAAATACATTGTACTATATCCAATCATTTCAATATTGGAAACTAGCATTGAAAATGTACAAATTGGGGACATAGCATTTTAATTGATTTTTGGATAAATAATGTAGGATATATATATGTGGCAAATTACGAAAACTCTCATTCTGTTTGTGTAATTACAACCATATCTCTCTCAACTATGTATTGTCTTACGACAAGACCTCTTCAGAGGTAAATTTAGGGATGTTAATTCAATAAAATCAAACCGAAATTTCGGTACGCCAACATTTCATACCGTTTACCGAACTAAATACATGATTTGGTTCGGTAAATAACCGAATTACATAAATCTTATGTAAAAAATATTTAAAAGGAGTGGTGTGGCTGTAAATACCCAAACAAGATATAGGTTTTCTTTCGTAATTTGGTCATACCTCAAGGGTGATCGTAGTTTGCCATGATATATATATATATATATATATATATATATATATATATATATATATATATATATATATATATATATATATATATATATATATATATATATATATATATATATATATATATATATATATATATATATATTCAGTGCAGTTTCTGAGATTTTATGGGCACTAGGTGAGATTTGAAGACGGTTAAATAATGCGGCACTTCTAACATATACAATAAAACCTATTTTTTTGTATTAGAAACTCTATATTAACACTCGTTTTTTGTAAGGTATATAACTAGTGACAAGTCTAGAATTTCGTAATATAGTGCGGTTAAAGTTTCCGGGTGTTCGAGGACAGTGCTCCAATTTTTTTTAAGAATAATTTGCATTAAGTAGCAATAAAAACAAGTGAATATATACAAAAATAAATAACTAATACATTATAAATTCAGTAATTATGGGGCCCATGATTAGAGGAATTATAGAAACAAGTAACAAGTGTTTACTTAATATCTATTTAGTATTTATGAATTAGGGTTCTCGTTAATCATATACAGTGCAATTTTTTTTGAATAAATGCTAATATATAAAGAGTATAAATTTTATTG